AAGCAACTCAATGAGACCTTGTCTCTAAATAAAATACAAAATAGGGCTGGGGATGTGGGTCATTTGTCAAATGCCCCTGAGTTTATTCCCCAGGATTGAAAAACAAGAAATCTGATTTCATTTCCTTTGGAGATATACCTAGTAGAAAGATTATTGGATCATCACATGGTAGTTCTAGTTTTAATGTTTTGAGAATCTTTCCTACTATTTTCCATAATGAGTATACTAATTATACATTAGTATAGTTATAATATATATTGTATAATGGTTGACTTTTCTCCACATTCTCAGCAACACTTATTATCTTTGTCTTTTTGATAATAGCCATTCTAACAGGTACGAGGTGATATCTTGTGGTTTATTTTTGTTGTTATTATTGTTGTTGATGTTGTCTTGAGGTTTTGTTTTGTTTGTTTTAAATGGGGGATTGAACCCAGGGACACGTAACCACTGAACCGCATCCCTAGCCCTTCTTATATTTTTTATTTTGAGGCAGGGTCTTGACTAAATTGTGGTTTTTGATTTGCTATTCCCTACTCATTAGTGGGGTTGAAATTTTTGCTTTTACCTATTGGCCATTTGTATGTCTTCTTTTGAGAGATTGCTTTCTTGCTTATTGCTTAAGTTTCTTATATATTTTGGATATTGACCACTTATCAGATGTATAGTGAGCAAATATTTTCTCCCATTCTGTTGGTTATCTTTGCTCTGTTAATTGTTCACTTTGCTGTGCAAAAGTTTTTTAGTTGGTTGTAATCCCATGTGTCTATTTTTGTTTTTATTACCTATGCTTTTAAAGTCTTACCAAAAAAATCATTGCCAGGCCAATATTGTGGTCATTTTACTTTGTGGTGTCAGGTGATACCTTTTTTGTTTAAAACAAACCAGGGGGTTGGGGCTGGGGATGTGGCTCAAGCGGTAGCGCACTTGCCTGGCATGCGTGCGGCCCGGGTTCGACCCTCAGCACCACATACAAAAGATGTTGTGTCTGCCGATAACTAAAAAAATAAATATTAAAATTCTCTCTCTCTAAAAAAAAAAAAAAAACAGGGTGGAGTACAGGGGAATACTAAATTTAAAAAAATGCCTATTAAACTAGGACAATTAGGAAAATTGGAATATGGACTTCAGATTAAATAAAATTAAAATGTTTTCTAAATTTATTAACTATATCCTGGTTACCTCTCACAGAATCTTTGTTCTTAGAAAAATACTGACACATTAAGGAATAAAATGCATAATATATGCAACTTATGCTCAAAATATTTGGAAGAATAACCATATGTGTATATCAGAAGAATGATAAAGCAGTTGTGGCAAAATGTTAAAAACTGGTAAATCTGGGTTCATGTTGTATGAGAATTGCCCATATTTTTCTTAGAATTTTTTCTGTTATTTCCAAGTAAGAAGTTAAAAACACACAAGCAAACAAAAACATTAATACCGTGGAAATTTCCTTATTACACAGAATACTCAAGATATAAGAGCTTTTTGCAACAAAGCTAAAGTATTTTGGGTTTTGTCTCATTATACTTTGTACTTTCTGATGAAGCTTTCCCATCACTTTTTTCTTTTCTTTTGTATTGATCCTATTAGAAGCAATGGCAGAGGTAGTGAGTACTAGTATACCTTAAGGTTGAAAAACACCTGCCTTTCAACCTGCTGTGGATCTTCTTCAGTTAAAACTTTCCTACAGTTTAGGGGTACATCAACAAAACAATGACAAACATGGTGTTTTAAAATATCTTGAATAAAGTTTTTAAGGATATTAATTATCATGAGAATGTGTATATACAATGCTAAACTTATGCAATTAATTTAGTGGAGTTAAGACTACAAAAACATTTGATATAGTTGTTTGGCATTGAGTGACTGAATTGTTTTCGGCTAAATACTGTGGCATTTGCACAAAATTAACCGTCTCTGCTATAATTGACTTATTTATAGATGAATGAAGATGTTTTCATTCTAGTTAGACTAGCCTCATGTGATTAGGTGGTGAAGTTTGTGTCACAGTAAAGTGAAGAGTAAATTATTTATTTATATAAACTATATAGATCATGTCTGAAATTGAGCTAAGCTAAGTTTATTGTTTTGGATGAAGGTATCCTCAGAGTCTTATCTAATAATTAATGCCAAACAAGTCTGTTTGTTAGTGTAGTTTCCTGTCTGCTTGGAGAAGCTCATGATTTAGTAGTTTCATGGAAGTCTGGAAAATAGGAATAATAATTATTCCCAATCCTTTTCCTTCTTACTTTACAAAAAGTTTGGGAAGAATTGAGAAATAATTTGTATAACTTACCTTAAACTCTAAAGTAGAAGTACTTGAATAGAACTAACAGCTTCATTTTTCTATAATTAAGGCAGAAAGCTAGATTTTGCTGCTTGTTCCCACAGCTACCCCAGGCCCATTTCATACTTAAGAAAACTAGACTCCAGTGAGAGTTACATGAGTGAAGGTCTTGGGCTTCTTTGATTGAATAATGTACGGGCCTCTAAGTGTGTCTTCACATTTAGTGAACAGTACTTCAGAGGTTAATACAACAAATTGTCTAGAATGACTATGAAATAGGTCATGCTGGTCAATACTGTTCAGTTTTTTAATAGCTCAGTAAATGAGTTTAGATCACTACATTTGAAAAAATTAGAAAGTACCTAAAATATAATTGAATTCAAATATCATTAAACATTGTTTAATCCTCCTTCCATGACTCAGAACACATTTCAGGACCTTACAGATTTTCAGGATCATTATTTTAAAAGGAGTTTTTATAGTACTCTAAAATAATAATAATAATAATAAGAGGCTGTGTCTGTACTGAATTTATAACATGTCTTTTACATATGTAATATCCTTATATACTTATTTGCACTAAGAAATATAACAGGTACAAAGTAATTCTACCTTGTATTTCAGGAAATTTAACTTCTTGTGACAACTAATGATAAGTATATCAATAGTCTACCCACATGTCCAGAAAATAGGATATTAAAACTGCATTTATTTAGAATTTTCAGCAGTTTAGAGCAAAAGTTATGATTGGTTTTTGGTGGTGCTGGAACCAGAGTCATGGGTTTTTTTGAGGGGAGCACGGTATTGGTTTTTGTTTTCTTCTTTTTTTCTAGTATTGGGTATTAAACCCAAGGCCTCGTGCATGGTAGGCAATGGAAGGCAACCTACCTCAGTGGTAGTTCTACTATTGAGTAACATCCCCAGCCCAAAAGATATAATTCTTAAGAACAGAGTACAAAATAATTTCTTTCACTGCAACTTAGGATATTGTTTGTAAATAAAAATGTATTCCATCAAAAATGAATGACTTTCTAACAAGGAACTTTAGGAATTTTATCTAATTATAGTTACAGTTTATATGTAATTGTTTTTAAATCTGTAATCCAGTAACTAATTATTATATTAATTAAAATGTTTTATAGACGTGTTATATTATTACATAATGTAACCTTATTACTAATAGTAATGGTGTCATTAACTTAGCTCACTTTACTTATTTAGTGCCTGTTTGTTCTGGGTTTATAGTTGTTACTTCCCTTTATAGTATGACTTGTACTTGGAGGTAATAAAACCAGATTTCTTTATAAATATTTATGGTACAGACCTTTTCCTAAATCAGACACTGCAGCACTTTCCCAATTATTTCTAATAAATCCTGCTTATATCTCTTTTTTTCTTTTCTTATATAGCCCTATGTATTGCATTCTCCCTAGAAAATTTAATCTTGTATATTTATGCCATAACTTCAAATTAATCAGACTCTTATTACTGCCACTTAGGCCCTAGTGTTAACAAAGTGTGAACAGTTCAGTTACTTAAGAGTTTAAGTAGATGCTTCTGGCGTAGTTTTCTTAGCATTTCTAGTCATATGGTACAAAGGGATAACTAAGTAAATGAGTCCTCTTCCTGAATATCAGTCTTTCCAGGAGGTCTTTTTTCATTAACGTATCTGCATTTGTCTCTTTTTTAAAGTATTCATTAGTAAGTAGCAAGTAGCAAAAGGCAGACAAAATATGCTTTTTATAATTCTTAAGATGATTATGATGTCTCTTAAGTTCCCCCAGATCTCCTTTTACCTGCTCCTTGCTCTTAGTTGAAATTGGAGTTGGCAAGTCTTTAGCCATGTTTGTCTCCGTAAGGGGTGCAAATTTGTGATTTCAGAAGTCCTAGTCCCCAATAAAAATTGCTGTCCAATAATTTGCAGATGTTCTCTGAGCCTGATTCCATTAGAAACAACTTCAAAACTGTCATCTATCAAGTTTAAAGTACTGTGTTAGGTTATTCTGCAGCCAAAACTACAAGCACTGTCCCTTACTGTGCTAGGACAAAAGCCCATTGCACTGTCCCTTTGTTATGTCCATGCATTCAGTGGCAGCTTTCCCTTTTGTTAGCTGATAGATAGTGACTCCTTCACAAAAAAGTAACCAGATTAGGTTGTTTGTCATAAACCAACTAAAATCAATAATGCTTGACATTGGCTTGAAATATTATAGCAAAATAATAGTAGTGTTTTTATTGTGCCATTGTGATTTTTCTGTAAAGAAGCATCCAAGACTCATTAATATGTTTTGGAAATTTATAGCTCTTTAACCATATCCAAGATTTCACTGCCAGGAGCACAGTCAGGCTTGAAACTTTATTAGAGAGCATGATCCAAGCCATGTAAACACTTTCTTTAGCTCATAATTTCTGTTCAGTCATTTGTATTGTCCAACAAGGTACTACTACCATTTACAATCATTCCCAAAAATGTGAACTACCTGGGTATAATTCTCACAGCATCTGTTTGCTAAAAATTAAAAAGCATTGCTTGCAGATAACTTTGAACCTTGGTACCCAAGTATGCAAGTACAGAATATAGAACTCATGGTCCTCTCATTTTCTTTGAATGATGGCTAAGAAAGGAGCGTCAAACTTTATTAGATGAGCTTATATATTGAATATTACAAAAAGAAGTCAGTTTGCCTTTCTTTGGCTCTAATTGCAGAAAACGAAGTCACTGCTTTTGCTGTCTTGGATCAAGACCAGAAAGAAATTATTGACACCATTGGAGCTGGAGATGCATTTGTTGGAGGTACAGACTCATTTATTTTATATTTACTTCTAAGTTAAACATTTTAACCTTTGTCTCTACCACATGGCCAAAATTTATTAATTTGCATAATTTAATTTCTTCTTTTAAATAGTTAACTCCTAATGTTCTTTCCATCTGCTACTATCATCATATTATGAGGAGATTGTATTACAGGAAGAATTTGTGTTTGGCAAAGATAATTTGCTATTATGCTTTACCCCAATCGTTTTCACAAGATTAATTGTATCTGTCAGAATATTGCATAAACAACTGCATCAAGTACAGTATATAGTATATTCATAGCCCTTCAGGCCTAAATGCTAACACATTATTGTTCTTTAAAACAAGTTGTGATGAATATTAAACATTATGCTAATGACTAAGGATGATGTCTTTGGATTATATCTTTTGGTTGTAACATCTGTTTCTAACACAATAGTGGATGTTTATTATACTAGAAAGAGTTAAAGGATTATCTCAGAATGGTAAAAAATTGGTTAAACCAGAAATCTTACACTCATACCCCATGTGTATATTACTCAAGTACTTTAGATCTTTAACTTAGCAAGTAAATATTCTATGTCTTTGACATGCAGTAGGACACATATTATCTTAGTGGGCATTATAGATATGATGGTATCCTAATTAGCCACTATCTCTGTCCCAGAGGTTCTGGACTTTCTAGCCCTATAACAACAGATTATTTTATAGATACCTCACTAGTTGTAATGCTGCCAATACTTGGTAGGAATAATGTAGACTTTTTGAAGGAGAGAGAGGCTATCCTTACAATACTGATGTAGGAACAGCTAGCTATCACACATTGTGGTTAGAGTGATAAATGAACTATATCAAAGCAATTGGAATTTTGGTTTTTCAGCCTTTTCATCCCATTTCACTTAACTAGCCTCATTATATTTATTATCAGTGTTCAGTTAGGCAAGTAAAAAGGAAAGAGACTGTGGAGCAAGGGTCGACACCTTTTTTGTAAACAGCTAGTCAGGCTTTGCAAGACTTTGTTGTGTATTCTCATTTTGTTTATTTGCTTGTTTGCTTGTTTTTTGTTTTTTTTTTTTTGCATTTCATAACACTTTAAAAATGTAAAAACCTTTCTTAGATCTCCAGCTATACAAAAAAAGCAGGCCATGGGCCACATTTGGCCCACAGGCTACTGTTTGATGACCCCTGGGTTAGCATTGGCGCCTTCCTTGTTTTATTCATTTCTAACTGATGCAGTCTCCAAACACTGTATTTTACTACATAGTGTTGAAATGAGAGTAGAGAAAGCATAAGGCAGGCTGAAACTAGCAAGTATTTCACTTGTAATACGTCAGTTAATAGACATTTTTCTTGCTTTAAGCCCACTCTGATCAGTTCCCAGGATAATCAGATCCCAGATCCCAGAACACTAGGTCATGCAATGAGATGAACACCCTATTAATTTATTGATGGTATACTTATGTTGGCCTTTCAGTATTCTGTGTGAGTCAAGCTATTCAGTAATAGCAATAGACAACCTTTACATTGTACCATACTAGCCAGTCATTTTACATGCATTGACTAATTTAATGTTCAGAAAGCTTCATGTGGTTGTTGGAAGGGGGGTGCGTGTTTTGTTTTGTGTGGTAGTGGGAATTGAATCCAGATCTCACACTTGTTAGGCAGGTACTCTACTGCTGAGCTACATCTCCATTCCTTTATTTTATTTTGAGTTTAGGTCTCACTGAGTTGCCCAGGCTGGCCTAGAATTTATAGTTCTCTTGATTTAGCCTCCCAAATGACTGGTATTATGGACATATGCCATTCCACCCAGCAAGGTAGATTACTTTTTAACCCTATTTTACTGGTGAGAAACCGAGGCAGAGAGAGATTAACAAACATGCTTATAGTTTCATAACTAGAGAGTAGCCGAAGCAGGATCCAGACCCAGGCATTCTGGCTCTAGAGTCTGACTCCTGATAAAAGCTGGTTTTACCAAAGAGAATCTTCCTGTTATCTGCATAGATGACTTCATTTATTGAAAGGGGGCCTTTGTTATTTGATAAGATGGTGAGGACTCTAAGGTAAGTTTGTTGTGTAAAAGAAAGAAACCAGCTGGGCGCTGTAGCCTGTAATCCCAGCAGCTCGGGAGGCTGAGGCAGGAGGATCGCAAGTTCAAAGCCAGCCTCAGCAAAAAGCAAGGCACTAAGTAACTCAGTGAGACCCTATCTCTCTGTCTTTTTTTTTCTTTTTAATATTTTTTTTTTTAGTTGTAGTTGGACACAATACCCTTATTTTTTTTTTATTTATTTTAATGTGGTGCTGAGGATCAAACCAAGCGCCTCACACATTCTAGGCAAGCACTGAGTCACAACCCCAGCCTAAGACCCTGTCTCTAAATAAAACACAAAATAGGGCTAGGGATGTTAGTGGCAGAGTGCTCCTGAATTCAATCCCTGGTACCAAAAAAAAAGAAACAAAGAAACCAAAAGCGTAGAAATGAAGGACTGTAGTCCCTGGTGAGAGTGAACCAAGAGCTATTTCCTATTCAGGAGAATCAACTACATTCAGAGATCCAGAAAACCAGATCATAGCTTGGTTAATCTGGAATCTGAATAAAGGAAGTTATATAAATCAACTGTTTAATAGCACTAGGCTAAGCTACCTGATGGAATCATCTTAAATAGAAATGGTCTTGTTAGTTGCAAATGCTGGAAATTCCCTTGATTAAAATCCCCCTCTCCCACCTCCACACCAGGGAGAGCCTTTCTACAGGGATTAGAAATTAATCCTGCTGTTAAAACTTACTCCATCCTGGACAGATGGAGAGGCTCTGGCAACTTATACATTTACTAAGTAGTTTCTTTTTCTTTGCTTCATTGCCTGATTAACATATCTCCTTTCTGATTGACATATTCTATCTTTAGACAGATAATATATTCATCCTGTTACTTTCAAGTTTTGCTGGCCTAAGAGTATTTCTGTCTTTTGTGACTTGGCATATCTATATTCCAGTCTACTTTATGGTGATTTAACTCATCAAAGAACAATAATTTTCTTTTCATAAATCTCAAATTTTTAGATAAACCATCCTCCAGCTACTATGAGCTGATAGCATCATTCAGTTCAAGGGTGGTATGTGTTCCTTTTAGTCAGTTAAGAGATATACAATCCCTGACTTCATCATGGATTTTCATGTATAATTTTTAAATGAGTACACCAAGTATACATAAATTCGTAGTTCAATTTCAGGGGTTTAGTTACAGTGACAAATCCCTGTAGCCTTAACAAGCATACCTCCTTGTTCTATTAGGAGGTCTTAAGCACTTGGTAACCTTTGCTCTTTATTTGTCGCTGGCCAGCCCTGATGAAACTACTCTTTTCAGATTCTTTCTCAAAACCCCAAGTGCTAGGATTGTACCTTTTGAAATAGAGACAATTCTATAATCTCTAAGTATGATTTCCTAATTTCCCAGGTCAGGAGAAAATTTCTTCTGTTGTCCTGCTGTGCTTTGTCACAGCAGGTCTGCCTTTTCATTTGGAACCTCTTTGTCACTGCCATAGTAACAAATGGAAACATTGAGAACATTTTGTGACAGGCATTGTCATTGTTCCCAGTGAAATCTCTTCCCCTCTATGTCTTCCCAGTAAATGAAACTGAGAAGAAAAATCATAACAAATAACATGAAAGGGGATCTAATCAATATGTTCCCACTGGGCTGTCAATACCAGCCTGTGTTAATTTAATACTATTTAGTCATTTATTTTATGGGAACTATAAGTATCTGAACTAGACCTACACATTATCTTTAGACTGAAAGTGAGTATACCTTTGACAGATTATGTCCAGACACAAGTATACTATTCTCAAGTAAAAGACTAGTGACCCCACCAAAGGACCAACATTCTTAGGATAAAACCTTTCAATAAGTATGGTCAATATAACAGATTAAAACTAATAAAATTTTTTTAAAGTATGGTCAAGAGCCACCTATAACTTAGAATATTTTATTTTGAGTGATAGTAAGGTAACCAGCTTCCTCTGGGTACCTTTGTTTTTAAAATTCTCATCACAGCCTTAGCAGGGGAAATGTATTATCCTAAAAAAGATTACCCATGATATGCAAAGGCCACTTAGCAATCACAATGTAAATAATTATCCTATTCCCCATATAATAAAATGGAGTATTAATTTAATTTCCTAGTTCATGTTTAGAAAAGGATTTGGGTTAAAATTTTTTTTGTTTGCAGAACAAGGATGCTGCTTCCTACTTCATGTAGTACCTGTCTATACTTTGGAGAGCTGCAGATTCTCTAATTATCTAAGTATATTCTATCCTTGCCATGTTTGTTTATTCCCAAACATTTGTAGCTTCCTCCCCAGTTCTTAATTGCTGCTTCATAGTGGTGGGCAAGGAAATAGTACAGAATTCTTGTGACTTGTTCTTTTTTCTGTACCCATCCATTCATTTACTTTTCAACTCAGAAGACTAGAAAATAACTTGGTGGGTGTTCAGCCCATTGTTTCTTACGCTTCTTCACTCAAAAATCAAAACCTTCCTAGGTATGACCCACTCTCTCTCTTAGGGATATGACCCACTCTCTCTTAGGGATATACTTGGTGGTGACCAACCTGCCCACTGCTAAATATCCCTATAGCAATAATACCACCTTTCCTTCTTTCTACTCGAGTAGGACATCTTCTGTGTTTTATTGCTTAAACAAAAAATTGCCTTAAAATCAACAAAGGAAGTATGGAATTGACTTGGTTGTTAGGAACATGAAATATTCACCACAGATCAAGAATGCAAGGGAAGAGAAAAGATATTCACACCCTTACAAAACAGGATGCTTCATTACATGCTATATTAGTGTTATAAATCAAGAGACTTAGATAAGCTGAAGTTGGACCAGGACCCAATTCTAAGAACCCTGCTTACAATTATTTAAGCCTTCTGTAGTTAAAAGAGGTAAAGATTATTCTTCTGCAGCTCTGAGAGAGGAAGAGAGAAAAAGAGAGA